ATTCAAATTGATATAACGAAATCAAATCGAGCAAGAACATAGAGCATATTACATTTCCATACGCTGGGGACAACCACCCTTTGCGAAGAGACATCGGTTGGAATTGAAATGGATCGGATTCAAGAGTCCATCCATCACGGGGTCTTCTAATCTAATGGTTTTTTAATAATTCCATTTCGGACTTCCGACGTCGGCCTTCATTAGAAAAAAGAAGAGTGATCGAGTGCCGATTGTTCGCAATATGACAGTCAATTGACGGTTTGCGGGATAATTGAATAATATCGTCCCTACTGGCGGGTAAAATGTGGTGACAGGTGAAATGCCGGAAGGCACTTCTTGCAGATACGATTTTTCTTTTGTCATGGTAATGTCAGATTCTTCTTTGTTTTATATTGCTTCAATTTTAGTATAATACACTAATTTATTTATTTATTTAGAATTCGTAATAAAACAAAAAGCTTCCGAAAATTCGTTTCTGTTTCGGATCTCGGATTAAATTGGTTAATTAAAAAAACATGAAGCATAATATTGAGATTAGAAAACATAAATTAAATACAAAAATTGCACATTTATGTTTATTTTCTTAGCACAGAACAGAATATATAATACAAAAGCAAAGATGTTTAGTTGAGAGAATTCGTGCACTCCTTTGTGTTCCGTTTGTAATAAATATGTTTTATTTGTCATAAGCGGAAGGTAAGACAAAGGACAGGATAGGAATGTGCGAGGGGCGAGGAGGGCAAACAAAACGAGCTCGTTCGCTGACCGCTATAAACAACGGAAACTATGCGCGGTCACCTTTATTATTTCATGCAAATCGCCAAGCTTTTGAATAACGATATCGCTTTGTTTGATAACTGCGGTACTGAGATTTAATATTGCCATTCTAGTAAATTTAACAAGTAAGTATACACTTTAATTATTATTTTTTTTAATATTAATAAGTATTTCTACTTTATATCATTCTACCATACCAGTATTAAACAATTTAAAAACAGTAAAAGTAACATACAAAAATCAAACTTTTTCAAACTACGTGACGCGGGCATAGCGCATTTCACATAGACGCAGCATGAAACATTATTAAAAATGTTATCTAAAATACGTCATAGAAACATATATCAGCTATAAATGTTACAAATAACCACAAAACGGCGCGTCATTAAATAATATAGTCGAGATAAGTACAGATTAATGTGGTTTTTATATCGATATGGGGCTTCAAAACTCCCCTTGAGGGCATTAAAAAAGCGACAGCGCGCGATGCATGCGATTCCAAATTATGATACAAAAAACGTTATCGACAAATACATATATACAATAGCATACATTATGCGCTTCATTCTTAAAGGTTTCACATTTTTTATTCTTTGCTAAATTTAAGAGACACTATCTACATTTGAATGCAACTAACTTTACTAAGCATCAATCATGTTGTATATTGCATTTTAGAATATAACCAAAAAGGCCATCAAAGAATAATATTTCTGATTTTTTTTTAATTAGTAGGTACGGGTTTTGAACGCATGACTGTAGCTTTGCGAAATAATTAAATAGGCAATCCGTCACTGAATCTTATAAACATTTACTAAAAATTATTAAAATCGAATATAAAACCACATCATAGTACAATCATAATTGACTTTATGATGTGTTAATGAACTGCATTTGTTACCTCATTCATAGCCGGTTTTCCAGCTATATTTAACCGTTCGTAAGTGCTTTTGGTCGGACTTCTTGAAATGCGTTTCCGTTCCTTTGAAACTTAGTACAACCTGTTAGGTTAACCTCATAAATCACTAGGTAATGATAAACTAAATGGAAACTTCAGCAACCTAGCATCTTTCGTTATTTTAATCTTTTTCAAATTACAGTTTAGTTTTCTATGTGACCGTATTTGAAAGTATGACGAAATCGCATTACCTAAGGGTATACAGAAAGGGCAAGCATCTGTGCTGAAATCACCCGGTCACTAGAATATTGTTTTCACTATATTAGAAACGTGATCGCAATTTTTAAGAGCGAAAAAATTCTATTTGAACTGTGCTTTCTGACGTTGGGCGTATTTGATTATACGCCGGGTATATTTATTCCCTTTTACAGTGTTATAAAGTCAGCGAATATGAAGAGTTTTACTGTTCGATTTACATGCAATATTGAAATATCGACGGTCGGTTTAAAATTTTAGTGTGCGTCGTAATATCTGGACGTTCGGTCGATTCCTGTAATTAAATCAAGTTGACGAGCCATTGAAATGTCGATCTATTTGACTGGCTTTAATTTATTCTGTTTAAGTGCATCTGATTCAATTGTGACTGGTGGTTCTGAACCAGCTATATATTAAAAAATACTCTTAACAGTTATGTAAAAACTATTATAATATACAACAGTTGATGTAAACTTTACATTGAGACACATTAACATCTAAATCGACGTAGGTTTTAGAGCAAAAAACTGTTTTTTTTTTAGGTATTCGTAATCTCGAATTTGAAACATAAATGTGTTGAACTGGACACTATCCCATTTATAGTTAAAACAATATATAAGGTAACTTTTCCAGTAGTGTGTTATGATTTATTAAGGTCGTGTTTAACTGCATTTTGTTTTGAAGACATTTGTATAATGTGAACAATAGTTGCTTAATAATAGAATCTAAGATGTTAACCACATTAGTATATACATATTTGTGTGTTCAAATCTGACGACGGTAAGTTTCGTTGATTGAATTGTTTTGTCAGGAAATTAACTTACTGATAACAAGTGTATTGTCTTGACGGTGTTCAGGACTACGTTATTATCTTAGTGACATAAACATTACGAATATTAATAAATGTACATCCATTTTATGTAATGTCTTATATTTGGTCTTATGATTAGTAGATATTTATAATTATTAAATTAATTTAAATCCTTGACTTTTAAGAGACAATTTCATAAAAATGGAAGTAGAGGAAAAACTCTTTAATTGAATGTTGATTGGCCGACAAAGTTTCAAGCTTTTCCTCTTGTTTGAAGTTCTTTATAACAGATTTGTTACTTTGAAAAAAGTAGCTGTAAGTATTTATTTTAAATTAACTATAGGATATCGTTGAGCTAATAAATGAAATAATCTTACTCTTGTCTAAAATTTAGACAAATCGCTGTTGAGTAAGTTGTAAGGTTCTGTAATCAATATTTAACCAGAGTTTGTTTATTTAATCCGCCTGTTAACTTGTTTTGTTTGTATTCTCGTGTTCATTGCTCAGAGATGCAAAATAGATTAAATTTGAAATTATGTAGCAGTTACTCCAATTATGTAAATAGAACAAGTTAGTAGTTGTATTTAGAACCCAAAAAACACTAAATGTTCGGTGGAGCGTAACCAGGCGATGCGGAATTAATAAAGGCATTTGTGTTTTTATAGTTCATAATAATTGCTCGTGTACAGATTACATATAAGTTTATTCTTTTGCTTTATTGCATGTAAGCTACTAAGTAATGTCGAAATTGAAACAACAAAAACAAGAGCCGGTTGACTTCCGGTCGCCGTGTTCGCCGGAGGAAGTCGTTTGCAGTTCCGCCCGCCCTCTTAGTTCCACTGCAGGAAATTCCCGGCTCGGAACTTTTGAGTTCCCGACTGAGAACTTTCAAGTCGATGAAAGAAATACTTTCTAGAGTTTGTATTTACTTTATTAGACGTCTGATTTGTTGAAACACTTTAACAGAAACTGAAACAATCCTCGGTTTGTATTGTTATTTGGTTAGAGCTATTTCATTGTTTTAAGATTTTAAACTCCTTGAATTTCTTAAATCCCCGATTTTAGGAAATATATTTAGACATCATTTACTTTAATCAGAACAGACTAGGATCAGTAAAGAAATGTGGTTATAACCACAAATATTACGTTTAACCTAAATTAATACTTCAATTTATGGAATCAAAAATGTTGTTCGAAGGCAATTGAACCAAACATTACAGTCGAGTATTAGTCTGGTATAAGCTTTAATGATAAGTGAAGCCAGTATCAGTGGCAGACAGTCTATGCGGGAGCCAAAACGGCTTTGCGGCCGTATTAAGCTACGATTTAATTTCAAACCCTGATCCTGTGTTTAGACTCGAGGTCTAATGTCTGTTACTTACTCGACGTCCGGGATTCGATTCCCAGTGGGCATCTTCTGTTAGTAAAAATTAAATTGTTAAACTGTACTTGAAATTTACCAGGATACTGTTATCCTTTCAAATAACTGGTCTATGTTCTTATAACTGAATACCTTTATTTTCAATATTTCAATTTCAAATTCGATAATGTCTTGTCAATCAAAAAATTGTGTATAAAAGCTATCAAGGTTGCATTTGTACATATGAAAGTTATCTATTAATCAATTAATTTGCTATCTTTTTTAATTTCTTGATTTTCATTTGTTTGCTTTATTCTGAAGTGTAAGTAAACGTTCAAATAATATTGGCAAATGAATATTTAATGAATATCGAAGTCCCATCAGGCAAGACAGTCACGTCTGGCCTCAGGTCGTCAAAGGGGAACTAATCCGAACTATGATTAATTGAATTTGAAACTGGTTCGTTCGTGCAATACGAACATTGGCTTCGGAATCTGTTGCCCCAGCCGGGCGGAGCATAACTTTGAAATCTGTTAGTCTTTGCAACTCCTGCACCTTGACAGGTCAAGAATTTAATGTTGCCGCGTTTCAAGCTACTGTAATATTTAGACTAGTTCAGTTTAGTTTATACTTGTATACATTACATGTGGAAATTGCTTAAATATTACTTGAGCTACATATGTATATTCTTGTTATTTTCATGTTATTGAAGTTTGTATTGTGAAACCTGTAAAAAAACTTAGTTTGATTACAGATAATGTATTTTTCTTAAACCACGAAAAAAGTCTTTCTGTGGTATTTGAAATATACTCGTAGTGTGCAGTAAATATTTGAATATTTTTTTAAACCGTCTTTACTTTTTCCGCTGTAGAACAGTAGTTGGTACTAAAGAAAGTCGTATAAGGTATAATTTAAATAATTTATTACTTCGTCAATTAAATACACATTAGGAGCTGTCGTACGCACTCTATTCACGTTGGGCAAAACATCTAAGTTTCATTTAATTAATGGATAATGTATACAGTTGAGGCTACGGTTTTGGCTATTCCAGTTTTAACAGGGGTCAGCCACAAGTGGGAATTGTGCTTAAGTTTTTGATAGTTTGAGCGGCTTCGGTATTTACTGGTTAAGTTCGAGGGTCACTCTGAGAAAGTTACGGCGTCCACAGGGGAAACCAGTAAGTTATAGTGCTATATTACGTTCCTTAATTCATTTAGCTTCAATATTTTGTTCTAAAATATACATATAAATTATTCATTTATTTTACTAAGATTATAATTAGGATTCTCTAGAAAACAAAGATTTAATACTGCACTTGTACAATAATAGTTATGAAGTTAAAGTCTAAACATTGTGACACTAAACATACAATTGCCTTAGTCTAATTCATCTGTACCATAATCTTTATTACAACGTTTACTATACTAAGATAAAGATTTAGTATATTAACAGTTTAAATATGTTTAAATGCAATTTTTCTACTTTACACAACACTTAAATAGTTAATTTTACGTTATGATGACACGTTCCTTGCATTTAGTGAAGCTAATCTACCATTTTTTATCTTTTTAATTCTCCCTTTTGTTCTGGAACTATGACCGAAGTGCTCGGCGTTGGACTTTCTGTTTGTCTATATTTCGTTTCTGCCAACTCACATATTTCCATTTGTCCAAATTTGTCAGAACTAGCATTATAATAGGAAGCACTAGATACTTGCGATTCAAAAGACAAAGCTTCCTCTTCAGCGCGACTGACGGAATCAAATATTTCCCTTTGTACTCTGAGCTGCAGATATTTGGGCAAATCACGTGTCTTCTCGCACATACTAGAAAATAAATCAGATAGTGGATCTCGTCTACTTCTATTCTCATCGAAAATGTGACGTCTCATTTCTTCTCTTTCTTTCTCCTTCAGTTGACGTTTGTATTCTCTTTCCACATCTAGCGTCGAACTTTCACTATTACATTCATTGTCTTCATTTGATAGATTTACTAGGGCATTTTCTGTGTACGTTTCATTGCAGAAACTAGCATATGTTTCTCTGTTCTGTGGCAGTACGAATTCCATTAGTTTCTCGTATTTCCATGGACCGAAATTTTGAGGTTGCAGCGCTGTTTTTCGCCTCCGCATCGCTTCCCTGTGACTATCTCTTAACCTTTTCCATTGATTTTTCGCTTCAGATGCTAAAATATAAAAATATATAAATCTAGTGTCTACTTTTAAATGTAGTTCAAATCATGATGAGATTAACTTTATCAATTTATAATCTTATATTCGTATTATTTTGTACAAGCGTATGAAATTTTATACCAAATGATCATAAAATATTAGTTTCATGATATTGAGTTTGTAGACCTTTTGGTTTAACGGTCAGACTAGGTTGATGTACGACACGTATTACGGGTACGAGTATATGGAATTATTATATTCTGTTTTTGGATATGTTTGTCCTCTCTATGCACAAAATCTATTTGGTGCAAAAACAAAAAATATATATTTTGAAAATAATCTAGATTGAGAATCGAACCCGCACTCGATTCTCTTAAGAAGCTCTAATAACAATTTATTCTGACAACTTAAAAAATTATAAAAATTTGTATTTGTAACATACAATGATTTAAAAAATTATAACGTCAAAAAATTTCTAAGCGTACAACAGTTTTCTATTACATCACTGTCATTCATTACGAATGAGAGAACGAACAACAAAAACATCGCGTCTCACAGGTCCCGCTCGAAACGATAACAAAATACGCTCACCGTTAACCAAGCCGCAGTTCTGAGCAACAACTTTCCACGCCAAATCCTTACGCGCCGAATCTCTATACGATACACTGTCAGTGTCCCATAAACAAGGATGATTCCTCACTTGCTCAATGAATGTTTCCATATTTATTACAATGTAAATAATACAAACGATACGCGCACCACGGAACGTCGGACGCGAGTGGTTAGCGGGACGGGGAGGGGCAGCATGGCCGCCGTGTGCGACGCGGCGTGCGCCTAGCTTC